TAAAGATTTTATTTATTTATTTGACAGAGAGAGAGATAGTGAGAGCAGGAACACAAGCAGGGGGAGTGGGAGAGGGAGAAGCAGGCTCCCCGCGGAGCAGGGAGCCCGATGCGGGGCTCGATCCCAGGACCCTGGGATCACGACCTGAGCCGAAGGCAGACGCTTAACGACTGAGCCACCCAGGCGCCCCATAAAGGCATAATATGTTTTATATTTTATATATTTTTATAATTATGTATGTAAATATACATAATACATATACATAATACATATCTATATATTATATAACATATAATATAATATGCTATAATATAACATGATATATAATGTTATGTTATAAATATATAACATATACTATAATATATAATACGTATGATTTACATTATATATAAATATACACAATGTAGAAATATATATATACTTATGTACATAATATATGCATAATGTGCAAATATATATATATTTTTACCCTAGGGAAAAGTGCAAAGTTATACGTATAGAGGCAGACTAAGAACATCAAGTGAGAGCATGCAAGTGTATGTTTCGGCTGAGCTGTGTCTTCTGGAGTACCCAGTTTATGTTGGTTCTCAATATTCGTCCTGTTATTGAGAAAGGAAATATTTGCTTGACGGGTTTTTTTTTTTTTAATTATTTGAGTATAGTAGACACATGCTGTATACTTTATTACATAAACATGTCCAAGAGGCAATAAATTCAGTACTAAAAGCAAGAACTTTGGCCACACTGGCCCAGGTTCGATTTCAAGTTCCACAGCTTGCTAGCTGTGTGACCTTGGGCAAGTTGCTTCACCTCTCTGTGCTACAATCGTCTCATCTGGAAAATGGGGATAATAACAGTACCTCCAGGGCTTTTGAGAGAACTGAATTCACTAGTATTTTAAAATACGTGGAGCGGTGCCTGGCACTAGGTAATTGCTAGGTTGGGTGATTTTTTTTTAAGATTTTTTATATATATATTTTTAAAGATTTATTTATTTATTTGAGAGAGAGATTGAGAGAGCAAGCAAGAGAGCACGGCAGTGGGAGTGGCAGAGGGAGAGGGAGAAGCAGGCTCCCCATTGAGCAGGGAGGCCTTCCCTGGGCTAGATCCTAGGCTGCGAGGATCGTGACCTGAGCCAAAGGCAGACGCTTAACCAGCTGAGCCACCCAGGCACCCCATTTTTTTAAATACATTTTATTTATTTATTTGAGAGAGAGAGAGAGAGAACACAAGCCTTGGGGAGGTGACAGAGGGAGAGGGAGAAGCAAATTCCCTGCCCAGCAGGGAGCCTAACGTGGGGCTGGATCCCAGGCCCCAGGGATCATGACCTGAGCCGAAACCAGGTGCCTAACCAACTGAGCCACCCAGGCGCCCCTGGGTGATTGTTAAATAAGAATATTTATTTTTCTTTGGTTGTCAGCCTCCCTTACTAGAGGCCAGGAAGGGAATTTGTTTGTTCTGTGTGATGTCCCTGGCACCTAGAACAATGCTCAGTAAATGTTTGTTGGATTTCCATTTTAAAGATGAGAAAACTGAGATATATAGGTATTTGGTTTTTCCTCTTGACACTCAAGCTCCATCCTAGGTCAGCAATTCTGAGGGTGGTACCCAGGCATCTGTATCGGTATTGTTAAATTTTATTTTAAAATGTTTAATTGTGAAATATACATATCATAAAATTTACCATCTTAACCATTGTTAAGTCTCCTGTTTAGTAGGGTTAATGACATTCACGCTGTCCTGCAACAGTCTCCAGGAATATTTTCATCTTGCAGAACTGAAACTCTGTATCCACTAAACAACTCCCTAGTCCCCGGCATAGGTGTCTCGCCCAGTGGTGACGCTGGGATATGAACCCAGGTAGAGTGTAGTATGCGAGTAAATGAAGGAAGGCAAGATCACACCTTGCAGCGGGGAGGACTGTGAGAAACCCAGGAACAGCCCTCACTGCCCCGGCTCAACCATCCGCCCCTCCCTGCTGCCTGCAGCTTCGGCCACATTTGAGGACTTCCAGATCCGCCCGCACGCCCTCACGGTGCACTCCTACCGAGCGCCGGCCTTCTGTGATCACTGCGGGGAGATGCTCTTCGGCTTAGTGCGCCAAGGCCTCAAGTGTGATGGTAAGGGGAGAGGGGCTGGAGGCGAGGCCCAGAAGTGTGTGTGGAGGGGACAGGAGGGTAGGGCGGGGGTGGAGCTCAGAGGTAGGAGGCGTGGCTCGGAGGGAGAGGTAAGGGCCCAGAGGCGCAGCTTGGGGGAGGAGCTGGGGAGGGACTTGAGTGATGGGTGGGGCCCGGGGCGGGGCTCAGCTCCGGAGGTGGAGCCTGATTTGGAGCTCCGAGGGAGAGGTAAGGGGGCAGAGCTTGGGGGAGAAGGGGAATGGGCACAGGGAAGAAGGTGGAGCCTATATAACAGGAATCCCCAGAGAAACAGCCAGTAGGAGGTAGATATTAAGGGATATTTGGAAGGAATTAGCTTACAGGATTGTCGGGGCTGGCCAAACAACTCTGAAATCCATAGGGCAGCCCATCAGGAAGGGCAGGCTGGACTCCCGGGCAGAATTTCTTCATCTGGGAAATCTCAACTCTGCTTTTTAACCTTTCAACTGATTGAAACGGGCCCACCCAGATTAACTAGAATACTCTCCCTCACTTCAAGTCATCTGACTGTGGACTTGAATCACACCTACAAAATACCCTTACAGCAAACCCTACATTAGCATCTGAATTACTGGGGTTGACACATAAGCTGACCATTAGAGTCCACTCCTTATTGATTTGGCCCCTCAGTGTGCCAGGGCTTGCCATAACAAAATACTCACAGGCCGAGTGGTTTAAACAACACATATTTATAACTCACGGTCCCAGAGGCTGGAAAGTTTAAGATCACAGTTCGGACAGGGTGTGGTTCCTGGTGAGAATCCTCTTTCTGGCTTGCACACGCCTGCCATCTCGCTGTGTAGCTCACATGGTGTGCAGAGAGACACAGTTTCCCTTTTATAGACCCAGGTCGCATCGGATCAGCGCCCCACCTTTATGGCCTCATTTAACCTTAATTACCTCCTTAAAGGCCCATTCTTCAAACACAGTCACATTGTGGGTTAGGGCATCAGCTATGACTTTGGGGGGATGGACACTTGTTCACTCTACAACAAGCACCCATACACATGTCCTTCAATCATACTTAAAAAAATAAAGGAACACACCAGTGTGTCTCACGGTTAAGCCCAAGTGTTAGGTTCCGCAGGTCCACTCTTCCCATCTTCCACGCTTCTGAGCGAGAACATTGAGATCTTGCCCCACCTGCAGACGAAGGCCACACCGCCGCCTTGCCAATACACACAGCAGATGAAGATCATCCATTCTGTGAAGACTGCACCTCCATTAGAAGCATATTCTTGGATGTTCCATCATCTAAGGACCTTCAGCTTCGTGGCGGTCACGCTCATATGGAAATCTCAAGTCTTCAGTGCCCCTGGTGTTCCAGATGACCTGCAGCATTGACCAGGATTGTTATTACGCAGCCCTAAATATACCTGTGGCACTTAGGGGCTCGAGGGATGCTAGCCACGTCAGGCCTGCAGAAAAGCGATTCAGTGCGTTCAAAACTGTTATCAGTACTGCCATTGTGCACAAACCATATCCAACTCTTGGTGTCTTGGCTTATGTAACCTTCATCATGGCGCAATCCTGGTGATCAAATTTTTTTTTTTTTAAAGATTTTATTTATTTATTTGACAGAGAGACACAGCGAGAGAGGGAACACAAGCAGGGGGAGTGAGAGAGGGAGAAGCAGGCTTCCCGCTGAGCGGGGAGCCCGATGCGGGGCTCGATCCCAGGACCCTGGGATCATGACCTGAGCCGAAGGCAGACGCTTAACGACTGAGCCACCCAGGCGCCCCTCAAATTTTTTTTTTTTTGAGAGAGAGAGAAAGAGCATGCATGCACATGGGCAAGCAGGGAGGACGGGGGAGGAGCAGAGGGAGAGGGAGAGAGAGAATCTTAAGCAGGCTCCATGCTCAGCAAGGAGCCTGATGTGGGGCTCGATTTCATGACCCTGAGATTATGACCTGAGCCGAAACCAGAGCCAGATGCTCAACCGACTGAGCCACCCAGGAGCCCCCTGGTGTCATCGAGTCTAATGGGCACCCTCAGCACGGACTTCATTGGTTCAACATCACAGATGATGGTCCTCGTTCATGTGATTCCAATGGAGTCCCAAATGACTTCTTTTTTTTTTTTTAGATTTTATTTATTTATTTGACAGAGAGAGACACAGTGAGAGAGGGAACACAAGCAGGGGGAGAGGGAGAAGCAGGCTTCCCGCAGAGCAGGGAGCCTGATGCGGGGCTCGATCCCAGGACCCTGAGATCATGACCTGAGCCGAAGGCAGATGCTTAACGACTGAGCCACCAGGCGCCCCTCAAATGACTGTTCTTAATGCCATTAACACCTTCCGATGGGAGTTTGACTCTACCTTGATACTCATATGGGGAGTCACGGATGAGATTTTGAAACGCCCCGAAGCACATGAGTGAGCAAAGGCCCGCGCTGGAAAGTGTTTCCTGTTCGCAAAGGCCATTTGCCATCCCGAAGCTCTTGTCATAGCACCACCTTCGGGAAAGCCTATGACAGCCAGGCTACCAGAAGACAGCCTTCATGAGGCAGTCCCAAAGAAGCTTCCAAAGGCTGGAGAAACATTCTTCACTCCTGAAGAGGGCACCATCCTGGAATCATTTGGAATCTCTGGAGATGTATGGGAGCAAGGGTTCAGGAAGCCCGCCAGGAAAACAGCAAGCTGAGCCTGATTCTTTCATGGACGAGGATTTTGGATTTTTTCTTTTTAATGATAAACTAGGAAAGAAAGGACAATAAAGTCATACTTCCATCTGATACGGTAGAACCCTCCCGAGTACAACTGCAAACATGCTAACCCTTTCCCCGGAAGATGGGGATGCTTGTTCCTTCTTTTCCTTCGATGTCCTGTCATTTAAATACGATACAGTGCTCCCTTCGGCAGCACCTGTACTAAAATGAGGCCAATACGGAGAAGAGTAGCATAGCTGCTGCGCAGGGATGATACGCACATTGCTAGAGCGTTCCATATTTAAAAAAATAATAAGTATTATGTTAGGTGATAGGGGGATAAAAGGAAGAAAACACAAATATTTGGTGTACACCTATATATAAGGAAGAACCAGTCATTGCCAGTACGCTCCTCCTTTGTGCAACTGGTCACGTGGTTGTGGCCACTTTCTGCCACTACCCAATCCACATTCCCTGGGCCCTCAGCAAGCACCTCGCCTGCTCATGATTCTTTGCCTGTTGGCCCAGAACCTTCCAGGCCGGTAGCGGTTCTACCCGATTTGGGTTTTTGTAGTTTTTCCTCGGCTTTAATGGCACCCGTAGGGGGTTCTCCTGAGAGATCTGCTGTATTCCTAATCTACCAAAAGGGGAAAGGGGCGGGGCAGAGCTTTAGAGCCCAGGACTGGTGCAAGTATGTCTCTGATCGTCTGGCGCCCCCCGCAGGCTGCGGACTGAACTACCACAAGCGCTGTGCCTTCAGCATCCCCAACAACTGCAGTGGTGCCCGCAAGAGGCGCCTGTCGTCCACGTCTCTGGCCAGTGGCCATTCTGTGCGCCTCAGCACCTCAGAGTCCCTGCCCTGCATGGCTGATGAGCTGGTGAGGGTCTGGGGAGCGGGTGGGCTGGTGGCGGGGGGAGGGGGCCGGGCGACAGGGCCCGGGCATGGGACCGCGCACTAATGTGTCCCCTCCATCCTGCTGACCGCAGAGCCGTAGTACCACCGAGCTCCTGCCTCGCCGCCCCCCGTCATCCTCCTCCTCATCTTCGGCCTCCTCCTACACGGGCCGCCCGATCGAGCTGGACAAGATGCTACTCTCCAAGGTGAAGGTCCCGCACACGTTCCTCATCCACAGCTACACGCGGCCCACCGTCTGCCAGGCTTGCAAGAAACTCCTCAAGGGTCTCTTTCGCCAGGGCCTGCAGTGCAAAGGTCAGCGGGGCCCCCGGGGGGGAGGGGGGACAGACGGGGTCAGAAGGCCCCAACACAGACACACACTCGCTCAGCGGCTTGGGGCCTCTCTCACCTGGGCTCGTGGCAGGACCTAAGATTCCCAGTACTCTGGGGGCACCTGGCTGGCTCAGTCGGTGGGGCCTGAGACTCTAGATCTCGCGGTTGTGAGTTCGAGCCCCATGTTGGGTGTGGAGATGACTTAAAAATAAAATCTTTAAAAAAAAAAAAAGAAAAGAAAAGAAAAAGAGAATCCCAGTATTCTGATCCTTAGGAGCACAGGGCCTCAGGAGAAGAGCCCTGAATCCTGGTGTTCTAGAACCTTTGGAATTCTGGAATCCTAGAACCTTGGAAATTTAGATCTGTAAACCACTTAGCATGGGATTTTAAAACTGTAGAACTTGAGAATTCTAGAACCATAGAACTGGAATCGTAGGCTTCAAGAATTCTGGATCTCAGAATATTGAAACTTTAGAAACATCAAATGCAAACCTTAGAAGTCTAGAATCATAAACCCTTGGGACCATGGAATCCTAGAGTCCTAGACATCTAGAGTACAGAACTCTGGATTATCAGATTCTAGAATACCAGATGTCGAAATCCATAAAAATTTAGAGCCATCCAATTCTAGAATCTAGGGTGTATGGAATCCTAGAACCTTGGAAACCTTAGATTCTGGAGGATTCACAGTCCAGAATTATAGAACTATAGAATCACTGATTTCTAGAGTTTAGATATAGAAAACCCTAAAACCTTGGACATCAAGGAGGCTTAGCAGTCTAGAATCATAGAACTGTAGAATCATAGATGTGTCGAGTTCTAGACACTTGGACATTGAAATTTGGAGTCTTAGAACTCTAGAAAAAAATATCTATAATCATACGGGGTGTGCTACTGGAATCTCGTGGGTAGAGGTCAGGGATGGTTGCTAAACGCCTATGATGCACGGACCAGGCCCCCGCAACAGGGAATTCCCCAGCCCCAACTGTTCTAGACTCAAAGATGGACAAGCAGAGAAGGTTCAGCTAGGTTTCCTGCCCCAAACCGCAAGAGCAAAATCCTTTGGGCCTGGGGGTTAGGAGTCAAGGTTCAACCCTTACAGGGGACCTCTCTCTCCCCTCCCACCTGTCCACTCGTTCCCTGTCCTCATACCAGACTGCAAGTTTAACTGTCACAAGCGCTGTGCCACCCGCGTCCCTAACAACTGCTTAGGGGAAGCACTCATCAATGGAGGTGAGAGGTTGTGGGCTGAGCAGGAAGGGGGGGTGCGGGACTGGGCGGAGGCCCCTCTGATGCCCCCGTCCCCCTAGATGTGCCGATGGAGGAGGCCACCGATTTCAGCGAGGCTGACAAGAGCTCCCTCATGGATGAGTCTGACGACTCTGGGGTCATCCCAGGCTCCCACTCGGAAAACGCCCTCCACGCCAGTGAGGAGGAGGAAGGCGAGGGAGGCAAGGCCGAGAGGTACCCGGGGCACCCTTCGGGCAAGGCCCTATCTCTACAATGGGCCGATGTCCCCTTGTAAATTTCCCAGGCACCCACACTTTGTTTTTCAATTTTACCTTTTTCCTGGAAAATGTACATTTTTAGAAAGTTTACATAGAAGCAGATTTTAATTTAGAGTATATTTCTTTTTCGGAACTGCTAATCCAGTCAATCAAAAGGTAGATAGTCAAACCCTCCTGCTTCGCTGCCTCCCAGCTGCTTAGCTCCTCTCTCCGAGGACATCACTGGGATCAGCAGCTGGCAGGCCCTTCCAGAAACAGTCTGTGTTGCAAAGTGACAGAGCAAAGAGTAAGAACGTGGGAATCTGGAGCCAGAGTGCTGTATGGCCTTTGGCAGGAGATTAACCTCTCTGGGCCCTCAGTTTCTTAATCAGTAAGATGGGGCTAAAGTAGGACCTACCTTTGAGGATTGTTGTAAGGGCGAAGCGAATGAATACGAATGAAGTACCTAAAATAGCGCCTGGGTGTTAGCTCTTCTCGCAGAGCACTCAAATCTTAGAAAGGAAGGAAAACTACCCACTTTCTTTTAGCCATTTTGGCCTCAGATTGACTTGTATGGCCTAAACAAGTCCCTTCCTCTTTCGGGGCCTTAGTCTTCCCATCTGTAAAATGGGGAAGGGGAAAACCATCCCCAAGGACCTGATGGGCAGTGGCTCTCTTCTGGCATGGAAGCTCTGAAAAATAACAACCTGCTTAATTTTACATTTTTAAATTATAAATGGGATTCATATTGATTCAGTTCTACTAGCATAAAAGCTCAAGTGCTTGATGGCAAGGATCCAGTGGGTAGAGGTCAGGTCAGGTCCATTCTCCAGGTGCCTAGGACGGGGCCTGGCTTCAGGCATGGGTGTGGAATGCCTGTGTGTCCGGGAGGCAGGAAGGCAGCAGGGTTTTGGGAGCCCGGGGCGCTGGAGGCTGAGAGCACCAGGGCTAGGTCCCAGCTCTGCCACTTACGTGGTGAGTCACATCTACCTGCGCCTCGGTTTCCTCCTGGGGCAATGACAGCAGCACCTGTCTCACGGGGTGATTTTCGAATTCCATTAGACCATGCGGGTCAAGTGCTTGCTGGGTTGTAAACACTGAGGAGATGGAGAGAGAATCCTCCCCGGTACTCTGTTCTTGAATCCCCAAAGGGCGGAGGGTGGGAGGTGATCCGGAGTATGGGGACAAATATTGGCATTTCCATTTCTCTTTACTTTTAATCTCATCTTTTAGATGTTTTCACTTTTGTGCATATGTTTTAGAATAATACTAATACACTGTTACTGGTATATTCTATTAATACAGTAATACATGTATAAATAAGGATAACATGTGGATTGAAACCATCATTGATGTATAAGTATTTGTTTTTGAACTAAATCCTCAGAAGGACCATAACAATCACTATCCCCATTCCTAGGTTAGAAGATTGAAGCTCAGGGGCTTCAGCCAGTAATTACTAAGAGAAAGGAGCTGAGACTTCACCCCACAGGGCCAGGGAGACATAAACGTGGGGAGGAGGGTGAGCCACTTCCACGGTGCTTCAGTAGACGCTTAATGAGCACCTACTGGGTTCTAGGACTTCCAAGCACACAGCTGTGAACCAAACCAGGAAAACTCTCTGGCCTCATAGAGCAGACACTCTAGTTGGGGAGACAGGTAATAAACAAATGCATCCATAGCATCAGGTATTGATGATTGCTATCAAAAAAATAAAAATAAAGTAATGAGAGGGGCCAGAAAATGAAGATATGCCATTTTAGTTAGGGTCATTAAAGGGAGCCTCTCTGAGGAGTGACATTTGAAGAGATCTGAAGGAGGGGAGGAAAGGAGACGTGGAAGATAGCTTGGTTCCCTACCAAGCAAGGGGAACAGCAGGTGCAAAGGCCCTGTGGTAGGGCCAAGCATGTTCCAGAAATAGCGTTGAGCTTGGTGTGGCTGGAACAGGGAGGCCAAGGGGAAGGGGATGGGAAACCAGGCCAAAGGGGACATGGGTATGCCAGGTCTTTCCTGGAGTGTTTAGTAATAGAATAAGTGGGTGTCAGAGCTGGATCTTGATTGACTTGGGTGCGGTGGGGGTGTTGGGAGAGGCAGCCTATTTCACAGATGAGGAAACCAAGTCTCAGAGAGGCGAAGGGAAATGCCAAGGCCAACCGAGTCCTGTTTAGTGCAGGGATCAAGAGGTGGTTGGTTCTGGAGTTGAGCAAGTCTGTGAATCTCTCTCAGCCTTCATTTCCTCTCTGTGATAATAGCATGTGCACGGGATAAAGGGCAATGAGGCACAGACAGGTTGAGTCGCTTGCCTCGTGTCACACAGCCGGATCCACAATCACTGGGCTCAGTACTGATTAGCACTTATCGGAGGCCCACTGGGTGCCAAGCATTGTGCTAAACGCCTAAGAAAAGTTTTCATTCCTCACAGCAACTCCTTTGGGTGGAGAAACCGAGATACACAGAGCTTAGGTGATTTGCCAGGCAGCCTGACTTCGGAACCCAGCTTTGTAATGTGGCCTTCTCAAGAGTCCCCTTCCTCATTATGGGAAATGTGGAAACCACAGAAATATGGCCCCAAAAAACCCCAACTCCTGGC